CGCAGCACGGTCAGACGGGTTGTTTTTAGCCCTAACAGTCCCCTCTCCCAATCTCAGTATCAGTTGGTTGACCGGCCCGGATAATCGATTGGTGCATGGGAAAGGGGAGAAAGTGAGATCGAATCTCACTCACTATAAACAATCTGACGCGTTCGAGACTCAAAAGAAGAGTGGGCGTTCACCGGGAGGGGTTTATTTGAGATCCGACGTTTCGGGTAGTTTACTCGTCTACCCATCTTCAGGGACTGGGAGGTCCTGTGCACAGCACTCCTACCCGAAACGTCGGATCTCAAATAAACCCCTCCCGGTGAACGCCCACTCTTCTTTTGATATGCCACCTGCGAATCGGATTTTCACTACTATTGATGCGTTCGAGACTATCACAGTGCGCTAAAATCCATGGTTTGAAGGTTGTCAACTGATGATTCAACTCAGCCCCCACAGTCTGCCCCGTGTGTGTTTGTGTGCAGTGGCCGACTGGTGGACTGACAGTCAGACAGCAATCGGTCTTCCTTAATGTGGCCCTTCTGGCACTTTCACTCAATTGGAATCCGAGTCCTCCACTCCCTTGTTGTGCCAAACCCTGATTATTTGCGCGTGAGTCAAAGGGTTGGCGGCACGCCTGGGCGCGGGTTCACGCCTCGCCGGTCACCTATGCTCTCTCCCGCCTCCGCTCTTCTTGACACCTGACCGAGTTGGGTGAAATGAAACAAACTAACTCGCACGCAAGTCACCGTCCCTGCGCCCATCCCGCCGCGGGACACGCGATGGACATTGTCAGAAATGACGTCCGAACTGGCACGCAGCTCCAACGCATAGTACGAGAAGTGAAAATTCCGACGTAACAGCTGTAACAGGTAGGCCCACACGCTAGGATCTCGCCTGTCCTCTATCCAGAATTTAGGCATTTGAATACGACCGTATGTGGCAACCTTAAATAGGGCTTGCTTAGAATCATTCTTCGGGATATCCAGAATCCCTCTGTAATTCGGTAACTACCGCTGACAAGGCAGCCTTATGTAGGAGACGGCAAGGGAAGATTCGTGTCGAGATCTTACACTGCCTATTTTAAGGAGGACAACTGTTTAAGAGAGAATTTATATACTATTGCCTCAAAATCCCTGGTTTTCAAAGAAACGGCAGCTAAAACTACAAAACGTTGGCGGCCTGACGTTGAAAATAATACCATTTCAATCCCTTCTTTCCCTTTGATGTTTAGATGCAAGCGCATCAACTAAGCTACATGTTAGTCTATGTTTTACTCTATTGTCCGGGAGCGTTGTGAAGGCCGCTAATTTCCTCGAATAATTTTGACGGCAACCAGTCAAGTCTGCGGTGGTGCCTACGACAAAACAATGGCGTAAATCGGAAAACTGTGTCGGTTTTACACAGCATCTGCTTAGCTTTCCGATCCTCTTCGATGCAGTAACTGGCAAGATTTATATAAGCGACCAACTTTGCAGCTGCAGTTAAGCGCGACCATTTACAAGACTACGAGCACGGTGGAGAGACTGCAACAGTCGAACAGCGTTCTTGACAGGTGAACTAGGGGCGGACATGTTTTCACGAGGTTCTATAGGAATTATGAGTACACGCGGGTCTCCAACGCCTGCCCAGATTGTTTGTTCTCTCTAGCGCTTTGGCTGAAGGTACACGCGGCAAGCTGACTTCTTTAATGGAGGCTTACGTCCGAATATGTCACAGTGCCATCATCGGACTTCGCAGCATTTTCATAAGGGTTTCGGCGAGCCCAACCTCAGTCCACCGCACCCTGGTAGCACTATCGCTGTTGGTCCGTGACTGCTTATTCACCAGACCCGAGAGTCCGTTTATTTCGCAGCTAACCCTCGCTCAAGGCCGTTCCAGTAACCCCCATCTGTGAACGCGCCGGGTGGCCAGTACCTAGGTTTATTGCAACAAACCGGCATAAACAGGGGATAAAAGAGCTTACGTCTTACAGCTGACAATGGATAAGTTCGAAATAGAGTAAAACAATGTAACATCATAGGCACCGCGAACATCTCATAAACGTCACCTACACGACCTCGAAATAAGCTCGATCGAAGGTTCACTTTCTCAACCAAACTTTACACAGTACACTACGCATATCCACTAACGATGGCTGACAAGAGAAAGCCGTTGCGACAAGAAAAATAGAACTACTGTCGCCAGTGGAAAAGTAGGCAAGCTCGGCTAGCCAAGGTCCTCGTGTATTCGACCCCCCCTAGCCCCCGACTTCGGAATAGGAAGCTCAAGCGTAGACGGCTTTAAATCCAATGGAATTACGTATATTAACCAAAAATATTTACAAAATCAGAAATGTACAAACTTTAGAAAATAATACTACTTTTCTAGCCTCGTGAGAGCTTGTAAATTAAAGTGGCTGGCCTGCAATTTCATTTGCTTTGACGGGGGCCTTGAGTCGACGCTTGTCTTGCCCGAATATGTTTTTTTGAGTCTTCGGCTGGGCGTGAAGCCGCGCAGATGGAGGAAAGACGCAAAGGATATTGTACAAAGTGACCTCTGGAGGGGACAAACAAACGAGGGAATGGTGTAGAACTCCAAAGTGGTATTAGAAACGTCCGCGTTGTCTTCGTCAACCCTAGGCAATAATACTTCATGTGGCACAAAAATGGCCCAGTTGAACTTGTGAACTGATGCGGTAGCACAAAAAATCGTCCTCAGTTCTGTCCTAACGTGGCTCAGCGGTCGAAAAGGTGAGTTAATAAGTTGACCTAGTGGGAGTAGGACACAGGACTCGCGACTAGACCGTGTTCCAAGTATGTCTGCCTGGCGATATGTCAAAAGATAGACAACAGCCTCAAAAACAGTGTAAAACAGACTATGTTCAGCGGACATTTGAGATGGTCGTTCAAATACACGACCTCGTTGGAAGTAAGTGTACTCCACACACCAAGAGGTCATGTCGTGAAGTAACTCCAATAGGACTTCGGGCGATTCATAGTTCGAACGCGCAAGAGTATCTGAGAGATAGGCAACGCATCTGACACGGGATTCTGTAGGCTGTCGAACGTCCCTAACGAAATTCCAAAGGCTTTCCGCATAGCTCACAGCGACTCCGGGGCGAAGACTGCACAAAACAGCAAGAAGGAGAGGGAAGGCCGTGAAATAATTTTGAACAGGAAGCACATACTGAAAGAATCTGGTTCTCATGCAGCGAAAAATTGAGCATAGCTGGCTCCAATCCTTTTTGTTCATTTTTGCAGGAACCTGGGAGTCGGGCCGGGCGTCAAACATAAGCTGCAAGTACATAATACTCAGCCAGACCATAATTTCAACCTTTGAACGCTCGTTACAGTCGGATAAGCAAAGTACTTCCAGCACCTGAAGTACATTTTTCTCAAAGGACGACGTTTCAAGGAGGTCGTCATGTGTGGCAAGTACCGAATTCTGGATCGAATAATCAGTCAAATCAACGTGGGCTTCTAGATCAATAAGCTGCATGAATACCAAGTCGAGTAGAGCTGAAATCGAAGTCTCCTTGAGGAAACGATGTTGTAACGCCCAACGGCTTAAAGTAAATAAATTGCAACAAGATATAAACACTTCCTTACTGGGACGCCTCCAGCTGGGAAATGACATTTTGAGAATTTCCAAAAGCTGACCCTCCGCTTGAGGTATCGCAAGGACTAATTCACGAAGACACTTAGCGGCAACTTCAAAATATTGCGATGGAAAACGATGTGTGTCTTCATTGTCTAAATGGCTATCCACTGAAAACAGAAGACTACAGGCTGACATCAGAAGTTGGTTGAGAACTGAAGAATTGCGCAGGGAAATGCAAGTGAGCAGAGAGATGCACTGATCGACCAGCCCCGGTTCTAAAGTGAACCACTGCCTTTCTGTCAGAAACAAATTTGCGATTACAAGAATGAGATCATCGGGTAACTCATCAACTAGGCGGAGGCATTCAGGGAAGAAACACTGATGCGCCGGAGGGAAATTTTTTGCAGTCTTGATTTCATTGAGAATCAGGTCAATGCTCCTGTGTTCACCACGGGCATATTCAGCTAGTGCTTTGTCCAGAGTAGTCATCAAATAACCGGTGGCACTTGACTGTTCGGACGTCGACCAGGTAGATACTGAAAATAAAACGTAATATCAAGGTCACCAGTGGTGCTCAGAAGTGCACAGAAGCTAAATGCGAAATGAATTCTTTAGTTGACAAAGGAAAAGGTTATGAAGGGGAATCCCCTTGCATAAACAAACTTTTACTGACTCGTGAAGTAGAACGAGGTATTGAAGTGGTCGCTTGACAAAGGTGAACATGCGTGGGTCCACCACTGCGTTGCAGTTAGTCATAAAACAGACCTTCATGCAAATACACTTAAAGGTGCAATCGAAATATTCCCCATTACAGTCTTCATGCAACTTAAACATAACAAATTTTTAGCTAGGCAAGGAGTTGGACAACTATCTGACAGCGCATCTGAAATTAAAGGCCATGATTCTAAAAAACGACGCCGAAAAGACGACAACCAAAAGGTTTCATTCGGAGTATGGTCTACTTAGAATTCGTAGACCTCTAATTCCTTAGCAGGCTACAACGAAAGTGTACGGTGAGGTCAAAATTAGGGACCTGCCTAATCAACAGAGACGCAAAAACGAGGTAGAGGCGAGACGAGGAGGAACAAGCAGCAGAGACTAGTTACACGGCAAAGGAACGAGCGGCAAAAGGAAGTAGATGAAAACAACCAACTATCCATGCACACCAAAAAGATCGCTGCGTACAGAACAGGGGATAACACTTGTTACTTTCAGCTCGGCACTTGGGCCACTACGTCTAAGAAATGGTAAGATATAGGAACTTTTATATTTCTTGGCTCTTCATCCAGCGACAGCATTCAAAGGGGGCGAACACGCTTGGTTGTCCGGCCGCGAACGTCTTTCGAGACTTCGATACATAGTAATGGTGTAGCGAACATATGGGTGAGCGGTATAGGAGGAATAGTGGAAAGGAAAGCAAAATAGACGGTCTCGAATGCATATGTACGTACTAGCGCCTGCTAAACACCTACGTTCGTGGCACGGTTTTTCTCTTGCCTAATGATGTCGCGGGTTGTTTCTTTCCAAATGGCAGAGGACCGGGATAGGTCGACTCAGTCTCCTCTCCGGCGACGGAGGCCAAATACATAAGGTTCCAGAACCACTCATATATCTTGAGGAACTGTGTCGAGCCAGGTTTTGAGCTGACCTCCTTCCGGATGCTTGCGGGTGGGTAACGGGGCCAAATAGAGGACAGTAACACCAGCCCTACAAGACAGACGATCTAGAACATGCCCAAACCATCCCAGTTACTTTTCTTGGATGACCTTAGATTGTACGGACTGTCTCATTCGAAACGAAGTCAGCGTACTTCACTCAAAGGATGGTTCTCAGGTGGCGGTAATCAAGCATGCGCCGCAGTGTGAATGTCTTGACGGCGCACTCATGTCT